CACCCCCCCCTTGCCATGACACTGAGTCCAAAAATGGGCTCAGGAAAGGACAAATCCAAATGTTTTCCAAAATGTCCACTTTTTAGTTTAAAAAAAACAAGACGAGAGTTTGGTGAGTGCAGCAGAAATCTGGGTGCGCGCGGGTGGGTGCTGCAGGTGCCCCGCCGTGACAGTGCGTGTGCCCAGGCAGGATGGCGCGGCAGGATGGGTGCCACGGCCTCGCTGAGTACCTCCTGCGGGCCCGGCCCGGCGTGGGGGGCCTGGGAGGCACAGCCTCGCAGACCGGGCTGGCCCTCCAGGCCCTGCTGGCCACCATGCTGGCCTTCTCCAGCCCCTGCGTCCGACGGAGCGGCCACTTCGAGGTGGGTCCTGCCAGAGCAGGGTCACCCCAACGGTGCCAAATCTGCTCCGGTTTGGGGAGTGGGGGGAGCGAGGCGAGGGTCTGGCAGGGGGGTGCCCATCTGGGTGCTGCCCCATGGGTGGGGGAGAGCTTCTGAGCTGGTGTGGTGCCCCCCAATACCTCCCTTGGATACCCCCCACTCCTCAGATTTGCAGTTTTAGGGTTTCTGTGCTTTTCTCCACCATTTGGGTTGCCTTTGTCCGTGGGTATGCCCCAGCACGGCCTCGCCACAAAACACAGCTTGGCTCCACCAGTTTTGGTTCACACTGAGCTCCACCCTGGCAGTCCCTTTCTGCCCACAGGTCTTCTACTGGACCCACCTCTCCTACATCTTCATATGGACCCTCCTCATCCTCCATGGCCCCCACTTCTGGAAGTGGTTTGTGGTTCCTGGCTGCCTCTTTGTGATGGAGAAGGTGCTCGGCTTGGCTTGGCAGCGTGCGGGGGGGCTGCGCATCGTGGAGGTCAACCTGCTCCCCTCCAAGGTCAGCACCTGCTGGGGGGGCGGGTGTCTTTGTGCCCCTTCCCATCTCCCTCCTGATGCTCTCCTCTTCCGAGAGCCAGAGAAAAGATGCTCCAGTGCTCAGAAATACCTTTAATACCTGCAACGCATTTTGCAGTTTTGTGAAAAGCACTTTGCAATGTGATGGTGCCAGCTATAGGGCACAGGGGGAAAGGGGGACATGGAAGGGGGGGACGGCCCCAATGTGTCTGCACATCTGGAAGGGGGGTGCTCCCTCAGTCATGTGTGGGAGGGAGGGGACAATCAACAGCTTATATGGAAAAGATGCAGTTTTCGGTTGCTTTGGGCTGCACTGGTAAATGTTTGCAGCAAGAGGTGGCAGCATTTTAAAATTTTCAAGCCATAATTTAATTTCAAATTTTTGCCTATTTTTCAAGTAAAAAAAAAAATAAACTCATACAACAACTGGAGACAAAATGAAAAACACTTTGACTCTTAATTTCTCTGAAAAAAATATTGTTTGAGCCCAGCCCTGAATGTGATTTTTGTTTGGTAGTGAAGCTGGGCAGAAAATATGAGAATAAACCCCTCTCTCAGGTCAAAGCTGTAAGTCTATTTTGTCCTGGCTGTGCTCAAAAGGGGAGGCACAAACCTGGGCGCTCGTGGGCTGCAGGGAAACCACCCAGTGGAGACTGACTGGTGTGAGGTGCCTGCTGGCTGCTCCCAGCTTCTCCCTTTCCCCTAGGTGACTCACCTTGTGATTGAGAGGCCACAGTTTTTCCGCTACAAGCCCGGAGACTACATCTACCTGAACATCCCAGCCATCGCCAGCTACGAATGGCACCCCTTCACCATCAGCAGTGCCCCCGAGCAGCAAGGTGATGGCTGATCTGTCACTTGTTTTGCATCACTGGGGTGATGTCTTGCATTGCATGAGCCTTGTCAAGGCAGCTGGGTCCCCTCTAAGGGTCATGCAAAGAGGTGTCCATGCCCATGGAGCAGGGCAGTGTGTCTTCACAGAATCACAGAATCATCTTGGTTGGAAAAGCCCTTTAAGGTCATCCAGTCCAACCATTAACATAACACTGACCATTCTCAACTCCACCAGATCCCTCAGCGCTGGGTCAACCCGACTCTTCAACCCCTCCAGGGATGGGGACTCCCCCCCTGCCCTGGGCAGCCCATTCCAACGCCCAACAACCCCTTCTGCAAAGAAATACTTCCTAAGAGCCAGCCTGACCCTGCCCTGGCGCAGCTTGAGGCCATTCCCTCTTGTCCTGTCGCTTGTTCCTTGGTTCCAGAGACTCACCCCCCCTCTCTGCACCCTCCTTTCAGGGAGCTGTAGAGGGTGATGAGGTCTCCCCTCAGCCTCCTCTTCTCCAGACTAAATCTCCCCAGTTCCCTCAGCCGCTCCCCATCAGACCTGTGCTCCAGACCCTCCACCAGCTCCGTTGCCCTTCTCTGGACACGCTCGAGTCATTCAATGTCCTTTTTGTGGTGAGGGGCCCAAAACTGAACCCAGTAATCAAGGTGCAGCCTCACCAGTGCCGAGTACAGGGGTCAGATCCCTTCCCTGTCCCTGCTGGCCACAACACATGCCTCAACTCACCTACCTCCATCTCCACCAGCACATAAATTCTGTCTAAAATCATGTACTCAGATTATTTCAAGCAAGGCATGGGGACCAAACACTAACCAAATGCACTCTCCAGCCCCACAGGTGCCCAGGATTTGGGGATTTGGGCTTCACACAGCTATCAGAGCAAGCCCCGTGCTGGTGTGCTGCGGGTGCTGGAGCTGTGCGGTGCTGGGGCTGCGGAGTGGGTCCTGACGTAGGATACCTATCCACTGCTCTGCTTCACCCTGCAGAGACCTTCTGGCTGCACATCAGGTCGCTGGGCCAGTGGACCAACAAGCTATACGAATACTTCCAGCAGCCCGAATTGCCCAACCTGGAGCTGAAACCGCTCAGCAGGAGCCTGAGGAAGAAGAGGTGCCAGCACTGGGCGCAGGTTGGTGAGGACTGGGCTCAGGTTTTGGCGAGATGATGGCTTTGCCAAGCTGAGGACCCCCCTGCAATGTCCCCATGGAGTTCCTCAGGCTGATGGCCTCATCTGGCATGTGCAGACCACTCTGGCCAACTCCAAAACAGCCCAGAAGTGAGGCCAGGTCTGGGCTGGATGCTCTCTGCTGAGTGGCTCCCCCTGGGCTCACCCCGGCTTTCAGCTGGGTGCTGGGGTATCGCTCGTGGTGTGCGTTCCCTGTGAGGTGCTGGTGTGGCCTTGGGGGCTCTGCCGAGGCCATGTGGCCCTGAGGGATCATCAGGTGCCTGTGGGCGTACAACCAGCGATTCTTTGGCCTTTGGCTTCCAGGAGGGTCTCTGCAGCCAGGCATGCTTGGAGCAGGGGGCTGTGGCCACCGGCAGGGACGGAGCCGTTCAGCTGATGTCGTACAAAGCTGCTGGAGCTGCTGCCCCTGGAGAGGAGGACCCACCGGCGGGGGGGGTGAGCACCATCTCCCACCCTCACCCAGCATCCCTGAGCTCCCGAGGGCAGCAGGGTGGGGAGGGGGGAGTGTCTCTGCTCTCATCACCACAGCAATGGCCAGAGAACCAACATGAAAAAGGAGGGGAAGCGTCGCTTCCATCCCAAGTGGGCTAAAGCTCATAAAAAAAGCTCTTTAAAAAAAAAGAAACTTCTCAAATATAAATCATGGCAATGCCAGGATGCTAAGAGCCACAGTTAGTGGCTTTTATCCCCCAACATGAAAAGGTTTCAGGATATTGATTCTGTCTGGCTGGAGGAGCAGCCCTTGCAGATAATGAATTTACATGCACCGCTTTTAATGCGTTTCTCTCCCCGGCGCCCTTACCCTTTTATCTGTTCCCTGATGAGCAGAGGTTCCCCACGCCTGCTCCCACTATCCGGGTGGTCCTTGGAAACCTCTTATTCACTCCCCAGTTTGTGCTGGGATTTGGATAATTGCCTTTTTAATCAATACTCAAACTGATTATCAGGTGACACATTCCTGGAGTGTCCCACCAGAGGTGCGGGCACAGCGCTGGGCTTGGCTCAAGCAGTGTGTGTGCAGTCTGGATCAACCCAGCTGGAAAAAGTCACCCCAATACCAAACCTGGGGAACAAGCAGCTCCAGCATGAGCTGTCGGGGGGGTCAGGGCTGGGGAGGAGATGGTCGCTGCTCTCTTTACCTCACAGGTCTCTGCCAGCCTGGGGGCCACCCATCGGCTCTGCAGCATCAAGGTGAGGGACACATTGGGCCTTCTGCAGCTCCAGTGAGATGGACTGTGCTCGCCATCCCCGGGGGGTACCCACGTGTGTGCCCAGTCACCCCCATGTATGTCCCTGGCCGCCCCACATGTGTCTCTGGTTACCCCAGACATGTGCCTGGTCACTCCATGCATGTGCCCAGTTGCTGCATGCATGTCCCTGGCCACCCCAGCCATGTCCCCAGCCATGCCACATGTCCCCAGTCACCCCATGAGTGCACCTGGTCACTCCACATGTGTCCCCAGCCACCCTATGTGCACGGAGGGTCCTGATGGGGCTGACGCAAACCCCGTGCTGCCGGAGGCCGTCATGCTCCTGCCCACCCCATCCTCCTCTTCCTTTGCTCCCACAAAACTCCTACACCAGACCCCAATCTCTGCCCGGGCTCCGCAGCCCCCTTTGTGCACAAACCCTGCTCCTCTCCGCAGCCAAAGCGTTGTTTGAGTACCCCAGGGCTGCTGGATCTCTCTCCGAGTTTCTTGTCTCTCCTAGTGCTACATCGATGGCCCCTATGGGACCCCGACGCGGCAGATCTTCACCTCGGAGCACGCTGTGCTCATCGGCGCAGGCATCGGCATCACCCCCTTTGCCTCCATTTTGCAGAGCATCATGCACAGGTTGGTGCTGCTGCGGCAGTTCAGGCCGTGGCTGCGCCGGCGGAGCCCAAGACGAGCAGGGACGTGGCTTTAGGAGACACAAAACATGATGTCTGCCATGGTAGACACATCCTCAATGCCTCTAAGTTGTCTCTTCTCACTTCCAAGCTCGGGACTCGCAATGTACAGCCACAGCTGGGTGCTCCCGTGGTGTTCCCAGGGGGTTCTACTCCAAAACACCCAAGAAAGGGGCACGCCACCCTGATGGGAAGCACACAGCTATGCTATCAAAGGGTGGGAGGGTCTCGCAAGCCGGGTGGGCTTTGAGTTTTCATTTCCCTTTAGAGGAAGGTGTTGGTGTTTGGGGACACTGAGGTGTCCAGCTGCCCCCTGGCACGCATGCCGCTGGCCTCTTGCAGTTGGGCGTGTGGTTCGTCAGGAGGAATTTGGTTGCTCCTCTTGTTTTGCGGCTTGCAACGTGACAGAGGGGTGCACGTTGTAGGAGGTAGTTTGGCTGCCTCGGAGCGTGCAAACATCTTGCAGGCGTCCAGCTGCCTGCTCCCTGTCTGCTCAGCAGTACCTGCCTGCCTGCACTTGCTCCCACCCTGGGATGTTTTTCCAGAGCTGGGGGCCAAACAGGTGCTTGGGTTGGCCCTGCAAAGGTCTGCTGGGGTCCGAGGGCTGCAGGCAGTGGGGCAGGCAGGGCTGCGTCTGCCCACGCAGGTACCGTCAGAGAAAGCAGAGCTGCCCCAGCTGCCGCTACTCGTGGTGCGAGGACCTGCGGGACAAGGAGATGACACTCCGGAAGGTTGGAGAAGGTGGAGGGGGGCTGCAGGACCAAGATTTACCCTGGGGATGGGCTGCAGGCTCCTGGGGGGATGAGAGGGGAGAGCCTGCGATCATCCGTCCCCCTCTGGGAGGTCTGGGGAGGTGGGTGGCTGGATTTGGCCCCCAGCTCCAACACCGCGGCTGCTGTGGCCTTTCCAGGTTGATTTTATCTGGATAAACCGGGACCAGAAGCACTTTGAGTGGTTCATCAGCCTGTTAACCAAGCTGGAGATGGAGCAGGCTGAGCAGGAGCCAGAAGGTGAGCAGGGGGCACCCCCGTGACCCCCCCATTACCCCCTGGCAGAGCCTGACCTGACCCGAGTGGGCACAGTGAGGGGCTGGACCACTCCCCTGTCTGCAGCCGGGCTCCCCTTGAACCCCCAGGGCGGTTTTTGGAGATGCACATGTACATGACATCGGCCCTCAGCAAGAATGACATGAAGGCCATTGGGCTACAGATGGCCCTGGACCTGCTGGCCACCAAGGAGCAGAGGGACTCGATCACGGGGCTGCGGACCAGGACCCAGCCTGGCCGCCCTGACTGGAACAAGGTGAGGGCTTCCCCCCCTGCCCCAAATCACACATGCAAAGGGAACTGTGCTCCCTAAACCTGCTGTTTGCAGGGGGCCACAACCCATTTCAGAGCAGGAAGATGTGCTGGGATGTCCAGATCCAGAACAGCTTCTCTCTCCCGTGGGAAAGCAAGTGCTGTGGGGAACATGGGCAGGCTGATTTGTGGGCAGGGACCAGAGCAGGCAGGGATCTGACTGTTGCTGGGGTGGGAGCGGGCTGTGCCCCCCCTCCTCATCCCCTGTCCCCCAGGTATTCGGGAAGGTGGCGGAGGAGAAGAGAGGGAAAGTCCATGTCTTCTTCTGCGGTTCACCAGCGCTTGCCAAAGTCGTCAGGGTGCACTGTGAGCGCTTCGGCTTCCGCTTCTTCAAAGAAAATTTCTAAGCAGCAAGAAAATGCCCTCGCCCCACTGCCTGCCCTCCCCTCCAAACCCCCAGCCCTGGTGCGGGGTGATGAGCTCCGCTGGCTGCATCCTGCTGCACCCTCTCAGAGCTGGGGGGTGTGGGGGGATGCAGAGGGAGGGGAAGGGGCTGAGCTGGGCCGTGGGGCTTTGGGGTGGAGGGACATGGTCCGGGGGCGTCTGTGCAGGGGGTTTGAGGGGGAAGAACCAGCATCCCAGAGCACTCTGGGGTGGGGGCACGGGTACTGAACCATCTTTACAGTGTTTTGTTGGGTTTTTTTTGGGGGGGGGACACACACACAACACGGGACGAGAGGTCCTAAACCACGTTGGAGGGTTTTGGGGTGGGGGAACAGGTCCTCCCTCATCTTGCAGGGTTTTGGGGTGGGAGGATGGTTCCTGAACCACCTTGCAGGGTTTTGGGGTGGAGGGGCGAGTCCTCCCTCACCTTGAAGGTTTTTGGGGTGATGGGGAAGGGTCCTGAACCACCTTGTAGGGCTTTGGGATGAGTGGGACGGGTTTTGCATCACCCTCCAGGGCTTTTAGATGGGGGGACGGGTCCTGAACCACCTTGCAGGTT